GATTGGACTGCATATCTACCGCTAGTCGAGTTTGCATATAACAACATCCTCCATGTATTGACTCAACAAACACCATTCTTTTCCAAATATGGGTATCATCCAAAGCTTGATTTATTGAGTCCGTCAACAAATAACAATCCAGCAGCTGAAGGATTTGCGAAGCAACTATCAGAGCTTCAAACTATGTTGAAGCTTCAATTACAATCCGCTCAAGAATCCTATAAGACGTCTGCAGATAGATTTCGGAATCAAGCACCTACTTTCAAAGTTGGAGACAAAGCCTGGCTTCTTCGACGAAATATCAAGATCAAGCGACCATATGATAAGTTGGACTATCGAAGATTGGGACCATTTATCATCCAGAAGCAAATTAATCCAGTGGCATACCGGCTGGAGTTACCGGCTTCTATGAAGGTACATCCAGTCTTTCATGTTTCTCTGTTGGAACCTTATCGAGAGTCATCTTTTCTTGGAAGAGTGCAATGTCCGCCACCTAGTATTGAAATCGAGAACCTTGAAGAATACGAGGTTGAAAAGGTATTGGATTTACGGCGAAGGTGGGGAAAGTTAGAATATCTTGTTCATTGGTGCGGCTATGACATTAATGAGCAAACGTGGGAGCCAGCTGAAAATCTTGCAAATGCGCCACAAAAGGTACAAGAGTTTCATCAACAACATCTTGATAAACCTAAATCAATTCGACGATAGCTTCTTTCTGAAGCTTGTTCTCCCAACAATATAAGAAAAGGGGAGAGCACCAACAAAATTCGTAGTTGATGTAGTTATTTTCTCCAAGTTAGATCGTAGTTTGGTCTTTTGATATGGATAGCCAAGAGATAGATACTATGCCAGTCAGAGTATCGCAACCGAGTAGCTCACGAAGGCGACCCCGAGATGAAGAACTACATGTACCACGATGACGACGGAAGATACCGAGTAACCGATCATTGGTGATCGTATTTGAGATCGAACCTGCTTACGATGGTCAGCCAGAAGGCGTGTTTGCAGGACAATTTCACAATGAGGACACGGAAGTTCATGCTTGGTCAGAAGTCGAAGGCGTGGGCCACTACCGTTGGCTTCAAGGATTGATGAACCACTTGCCTCGTGAACAATAGTTGGAGTTCATAGTAGAAGTTATGCGACAGATCTTCATTTTCTTGTGTTGGTACTGATCAACAACATTGCTTCTCAGAGACCTCGAAGCTAAAGGAGGGGGTGATGTTAGGGACATATTCCTTAGAACTTTCTAGAAGAGAAGCCTCTGAAACCTTTTAGAGAGAAGATTCTAGAAGCTTCTAGAAAGGAAGTCTCTGAAACCTTATAGAAGAGAAGTTTCTAGAAGCTTCTAGAAAGGAAGCCCCTAGAACTTTCTAGAAGCTTCCTAGTTAATAGAAGTAGCTCGAGAAGTTTCTAGAACCTTCTAGAAAGGAAGCCTCTGGAACCTTCTAAAAGCTTCCTAGTTAATAGAAGTAGCTCGAGAAGCTTCCTAAGTAGGAATATATATAGGGATCGAGGCTGAAGAGTTCTTCAGTCTCGACAACACATCTCTTGGAGTTCTAGCTCACCTTTCTGGTGTTGTTCTTGTACTCATCTGTTTAATCTAGTTCTGCCACTTCTTCTTGAACTTCTTGTTAGATTTCAAGTCTGTATTTTGTGTCCGTGATACCACTATGTAATTCCTAGTTAAGAGTATATATGGAGGCAAAAGTGAAGCTTTCTTTAATCTTATCAATGCCTTTTTAGTCTTTAGTCTTGTTTCAAGACTTTCTAGTCTTTTTATCTTTAGTAATAGTCATTGTAGTTTAATACTATACCATCTTTGAGTGACTTTATAGTTATTTTGTATGACATAAGAGAGTATTGAGGATTTCTTTCTTTGAGCTTCATGTCCTTGATAAGTTGCTTTTAGGCTTGGAAGATTATAACTACAAATTGCCACCTTATACTTAATATAAATGCAACATATTCAAAGTAAAGATACTGGAGTGTCTACCTTAGTTGTAGCAAAGAAGATGGAGAAGATCATCTTATTCTTATTGCTTTTAAGATTTCCTTAGTTAAAAACTATGAAAACTAAATATGGTTTTTTTGAGCAAGTAATACATACAATGTCATTTCTAAATTCTACAAACATTACTATTATCAACAATTATAAGAAGGTACATAAATTATTAGCTATCAATTTTGTATTAGATTTTTCATCTAATTTAATATTAACTATAGTGATATGTTTAGAAAATAAAGAATGTAGTTGATGCAAAGCTTGCATTTAAAAACCACAAATATATAATATTACTAAATACAAAGTTTAGACATGTGTCTAGTATATCAAAAATATATATAAATTGCCACTTTAAAATAAAGTTGAATGTAAAGATCTAGATAGCTGCAAAGGCATTAACTATAGACAGTCATATAGTTGTAATAGAAAACATCAAAAAAAAATGCATGTCATTATATTTAAATATCCTATTGTTATTCTATGCCAAAATTAGATCTTTTTTCATATCAAGTCTTAGTACTTTACAATATTTATTTCAAATATGTCAAAGATAGAAAATTCCTTGATATTTGATGCATGCTACATGAAACATTTTAATGTAATATTTTAGATTGTTCAAAAAATTAGTGGCCTTTTTTCTTTTTCTTTTTTCTTTTTTTTTTGGATATATCAAATATGTGGCCATCTTGACAAGTCTTTTTTCTAAAATCACCTCAAATGTGCAAAGGTGCATAATGAAAGGACAAACTAATCATGTCATGAAGATAGATGACACTATTTGAGGTCTTCACCTAAGATGGTCACTTTTTTTGTATTATTAATTTCAAGGACTATAACTATTCTTATGGCAATTTTCAACAATGTCAGCTTCCTTGCATTTATGCTTGTGTAGATGCACTAAAGTTATACCAAATTTTCAAGATATTCATGCATGTTTTGTATACTACATAGGAATTGCATAAGATTTATGCCGATGTTGTTAAATCCATTAATGTGAAAAAAGTAGTAGCTGATGGTGTCACATTGCCATTGCTTCAAATAAAACAGATAATATGACTATAAAAAAATTGTTTTTATAGTTGTGGTGAGATCCACCTAGTAAACCAAACTAGATACTTAAAATATGGCAAAAAGAGCAACAATTTTTGTACCTTCAATTAATAATGTCAAGCATGATGGAGCTCTTCAAGGTGAACAAGATCATGGTACCTAGTAATTTTTGGCATTGTCAAGTTGTATATACCATGACAAAGAGAAGTAATATAATAATGAAGAGAAGCATCGCTATGATAAAGAGAAGCAACAATGATGAATCATAGCAAGCAACGAGAAGCAAAGCAAATTGAAATTCAAACAAATCTCTTTTAAGGATAAAAAAGAAGAAGATGAAGAAGAAGATACATTTTTTGATTTTTTGATTTATTTGTGTTCATACTTGTAATTATTTTTATATATGCATTTCATACTATAAATTCTTCTAAAAATAAGATGTCTTAAATTAATTACTACAATAAAAAATTATCCAATATTTATATTTATAAATAGAATTATTTATTATATATTAGACTTTAATAATAGACTATCTAATTATCAAAAACTTAATTCGTCAAGAATTATAAAAAAATCATTTAATTCTTAAAAACTAAATTTTTTTTGGATTTTTGTAAAAAAAAATAGAATAAAAACAAAGATGTAAAAAATATCATAATTTTTTAAAAACTAAAATTTAAGAATTTATATTTCAAGTTTTTTATTATTTCTTTGTTTGAAGTACATATATTTTTAAAAATTATCTAAGATTATTATATTCAATAGAATAATTTAAATATATATATATATAATAAAATATAATAAAATATAGATAGTTTAAATTATTACTTACATTCTTATCAATAAGTTATTATATAAGAATATTGTGTGTGTATATACATATATATATATATATATATATATATATTTATATAATCTAGATTTTAATTACATGGATATTAATTATTTATTTAATCTACAAATTCTTTCTTTTAAAAAAACAAAACTTTGGATCATAATTATCACTTTAAAAAATAAAAATGTACAACAAATCTCCTATATATAGTTACACATCATCAACAATAAATGCAAAAAGTTGTGAAAGGGGACATCACAATAGAATATGGACAAGTGGAAGTTCAACAAGGAATGCAAGAGCCAATAAGAAGCACCAATGTAGAAGCCAGTAAAAAAATATAACTTTCCAGTAGGAAAATGAAGGCATACGATTCATTTTTTTGGAAGATATTATTGAAGGGCATAAAGAATAAATTCAAAATTCAAGGATTCCATGTAAAGCAGCCCTTCTTAGTTGTCTTTTCCTAGTTTTAGTCAGAATTATATTATTAAGACATAATAATAATATTAATAATAATGAAAACAAGTATGTATTGCTGCTGAAGAGAGTCATTTCAACTACAACGTAGCGACTTAAGGAAGGTGTTGACAACTTTACAACGACCTGCAATGGTGCAGGGAAAACACACAGGAGGAGGGCAGAGAGCGGCGTCAAACAAGCAAACAAGGAAACAAGCACAATGTGGGGAAGAATTACAGATTGCAGCTAAGTGGACGGAGCCCCAGGCTCTCGTCCGTACCTCTCCTCCGTTCATCTATTCGTTCGTCGTCCGTCCATCCGTCCATCCGTCCATCCGTCGGCCCTTCCTTCCTCCGTCCGTCGGTGCATCGGTCTCTCCAGGTCTGGATCGCTTCGTCGGGTGGTGCGGCTGTCTGGTTGCGTTGCTGCGTGGTGGCGCCCCTCATCGCGGCAGCCAGCCTCAGCACAAAGTCCCAGTAGTAGTATTGATAGTAGTCCACCACCCCCGCCCCCGCCCCCGTCTCTACCTCCACGACAACATCTCCAAATTCCCACGCCACTCCCCGCCTTTCCTCCCTCCCCTCGCACATGGCACCCTTGGCTGGTGCTGCCTCCATTCCTCCCTCCCTGATTGCAATGCCGCACCCCCTCCCCCTCCCTCCCCTCCCCCCCCCACCACCTCGCCAACTGCATGCGGGTGCGTCTCTAAGGCCCCCGCAGTTGTTCTTGCTCCTCGGATGCTAGAAGAGCTCATGACTCTGCTCGATGTGGCCCTGGCGGCAGCGTCACGTTGGAGTTCTTGTGCTCTTGCTGCAATCGTGTCGTTGTCATGCGAAACTGCCTTCCCCGTGAGTTGAGGTTTTCGGATGGTAGGAAGCGTGGTGGTTCGGTGAAGTTTCGCTGCGAGGTTGGATTGGCAATACTGGCAGTTCCGGTTGTAGTTGTGGCTGCGGGTGTCGAGTGGAGGAATGCATGAGTAAGATCTAGGGTTTGGTTGTGTGTGACCGTGTATTGAGCAGGTGGAAGAGCTTGTGGATTCCCGGTGCGATGATTGTTAGATTGGAGGTAGAGTCTGTAGTAGTGGAGAGTTCATGGTGTAGTCTAGGAGAAGAGCATTCTGATGGCCTGTAGCTGCGGTTTAGCGTCAATGGATAAATGTGTGGTGTGACGGAGCAGTTGTTGCGGGATTCCGGGATATGTGTTTCTGACAGCGGTGTTTCGAGAGAGCCCTGCGTGTTCTTGTGGTCTGGAATTTGTGAATTTATCGTGAGAATTATGAATTTTGGTGTTGAGGAGAGGTGGATACGGGTTTACTAGGTGTTGAAAGAGCTGGTGATTGACTTTGTACATTGTGATGGCTACTGTGGTGCGATGGGCCTCACTGAGACCACTGGAATGCGCAAGCACAGGGCTGGACTTACCGGTCTGCAAGTGCCGTTCTTTTTATGGCCGATTTTTGGGAGAGAGGAAGCACTTCTGGTCGGGTCGAAAGGGGTCCCTACGAAGAGGGAGTATTGGCAGAATGGGAGCGTTTGGTGATACGAGGTTGGAGCTTGTTCTGAATGGGAGCGTAAACACCAATGAATTTGGTACTCTAGCCTTGCTATTTTCCGACATCCCAGAGGACGATGGTTTGGTCATATCGCGTCGAGAGTTGCAGCTTAAATTACCAAGCGAAATTGATGAGTCCAATGAGTACGTCTAATTTATTATTTTTATCATTTTATCAGCGTTTTTTTGTGAGAATTTATTGATAGACAAGTATCAAGAACCAAGGAGCATGTACCTTGACATTATTAACACGAAGGCGCAGCAGCATTTTCACTAGAGTCTAGAAACTACTTTGTTTCTCAGTTGGTCGTTAGTCACAAAGGTTCTTCGTTATGCATGAGGATTCTTTTGCGAACAGCATTTATCTGCAACTGTGATCTAGTAACTATAGTACTGTTAGTCACGGCCAGATTTTCACCTTCTTGTTGGAGTTGAGCCAGTTCGAAAAATTGAAATGTTTTCTACTTCCATCGATTACATCATATATACCTTCCTTGATGAAGAAAAGACCACGGGTTTTTAGAAGTGTTCTAAATTCATGCTTTCAAGAAAGATAAGAAGGCCGAATATTTGAAGAAGATGCTTGCCCTCTGATAGAATTATAATAAGGTTCAGCCGCTAGTAAATTTGTTACACCGATTGATATATTTCCTAACTACCTAGAATTCTTTTTGCATGGGCAGTGGAAGCTATATTGTCCCAAAATGGCTTAGCCTGGTAGAGAGTCAAGGAATTATTGAGAAGAAAGTAGTAATTTGTGTACTAGTCGCACATATCTTTGTCATTGCTAAAATTTGATTATATTGCAGGCTATACGATAAACTTGCCGAGAACGCAATGGCTGGTGAATCGGTAACTGATGGAGCGGAAAAGAAGAATAACTTGGAGGAAGAATCAGACCCTGGACAGACGCATGTTGAAGTTGGGAAAGGGCAGGTAGAAACCCGCATTGGTGTACCAGCATATCAGCAGGCCAGCGAGTTACTTGCATCAGTTAACAAAACTCTGGATGGGCTTGAAGATGACCTTATCAAGCACGCAGAGGTATTTTTTGCTTCCTAATTTTGATCAGTATAATTCTTGAATTTGAATAACTACAAGGCACAAAAAATAACATCCGCGTATCACTTATTATAGCATCCTTCCTATTTGCGTGTGCAGGAGCTGGAGGCTTCTACTCTGTCGGAGGACTTTGTCTTTTCCGGAGTGGGTGATTTTTCTGTCACGCACTTACGTACGCTTTACATTATATTTCTGTTTCATCTACCTACTAACTCGATTGGAAATCTGATTATCCCTTCTAAGTGCGTTAAATGCAAGGCCATGAAATTATTAGGCTGATGTTTGCAGTTTGGGCCGCGGAGGGATCCCCTTATTGACGAGCTGGCTATGAGTGACAGATTATAGAGAAGTGACTAACATTTGCGCAGTATATGTATTACCAGATTATAGAGGAGCTAATAGAAATTAAGTCCAAATATTAGCAGAATTTTGAAGTTGTTCCGTGTAATGCTTTAGCTCTGAAAGTCATATGCAAAGGACAGTGTATTTGCGTTACTAATGCCTCTTGCGTGGTTATATCATTAAACGGACTTTCAGAGAAAAGAGAGATCTTTTGAGGCTGGTTTCTCCAAATTCACTCCATATTTGCGTGAGAAGTCATTGATTGTTGTACTCGTTTGTATGAATGCAGTTTCTCGAATTAGAACAGATTCGAAAGGAGGTACGTGTTCGGGATTATTTTCTCGACATGCTGCGGCAGGAAGCAGTTGACGCTTCCCAAATATTAAGTTCTGCCACCCTAGTAATAATCAAACACTTTGATAACTCGTCCATTACAACTGTGGGTTTCGTTACGATTTTATGTAGCGATAACATAGCAAGTTTCTTTTATCTGTCTATTCCCGATCATGAACCATGTGCTGGAGGTATGTTACTGTGAATATATGAAAGCTTTTTGAATGAATGTAAATAGTACGTCATGTAATTCAGGCCATGGTAACAGCGAAGGGCAAGATAACCTACTTGCAAGAGCAACTAGACGTTGCAACTGGCTTGCTGCGGCAGGAGAAAGGAGCAACTCAACGAGCTCTGGACCTCTTAGCAATCTCGCTACTGGTATATTTCCAGAAGAGTATATTTATCGAGTATTTTTGTGTCGAGGTCATATTGAGTGATGATCAGTTTTTCTGTAAGCCGAGTTTTTTCTTTTTCTTTTTCTTTTTTTTAATTTATCATTATTATCAATTAACTTAACAGTTTTGTTGCTTCTTCATCTGGAATGCCACAATATCCACCACCATGAGTTTAGACTTTATTAACCATCATGTCTACATTGCGCGTTTATGTTGTGAAATAAAACAATCAATTCCAATGTATCTGTTTGCTTGGTTGGGTCCAATGCAGCACTTAACTATCGCTTTTCACAGTGATTGTTAAGCCATTATTCTATACGTTTAAATTGTGTACGCTAGACGTAATACATTTTTTTCCCCTTAGTGAAGAGTTACAAATGTCTGTATGTAGACCCTATCGGGTGCGGAAGCGCGTGTAAGAGAACTTGAAAAACAAGTAGAAATTGGATCACAAGCTCAAGACTACTCCGCTGAGGTAGATTCATTGAAGTTGAGTATACTGCATGCCAGTAATTCACTTGTGACTGCCTTCATGTATACCTATGCTTCGTTTGATCATGTTAGAAAGTAATTGAAATGCAACTTTATTGTGCTCAGAACTTGTTGGACACAAAAGAGAAGATTACACAGCCTTTGCGTACTGAAAATCATCACAATGCTAGCATGCTCGTTGCTGCCGCCAAGGCTCGAGAAGTATGGAAAATCTTCCTTTTACATTTCGAGTTGCAGCGCGCATGTCAACCTTTTAAAATCTAGTATTCCTTGCTCTAAGTTGCAATCTTTTCGATCCTCAAATAGACATTTCACAGAATGATCTGATAGAGTCAATTTTGGCTGGATCAAACTTGATACTAATACTGTCTGATGTATGGTGCTTATTCATAGTTGGAATCCTGTCTTTAAAGCTTTTTCTGGTGATATTTTTCTCATACCCCTTGCCTCTTCAAGTGTATTGTCTGTAAGCCTTATGTTGATGTTTAGATTGACTAAACAGACTGACTTATGTTTCTTGCTTAGAGTCTTACGAATGCAGAGAAGAAAGTGGAATTTTTTACAGCTCAAGTGGCAATACTAAAGGAGGAAGTGCGTTCAAGGGACATGCTTTTAAGAGAAGTTAGGGATGAGATGGTTTGTAGTACAGATGCTTTGAAGTTGGCTTCGCAGATCAAGCAGGTATTACATTTTTCTGAAGCGCAGTCTGTGTAAGAGTTTGAAATACTTAGGACACACAAGTTTTGAGTTGGTAGTTTCAAAATGTGATCTGCATTCATCTTCAGTTTCATCCATTTATCTAATTTTAAAATGCATCATAACAGTGCTGTTGCGGGGTTGAGCGGTAGAGTTTGTCTATGTAAAGCTAATAATATAGGAAGGGTTGGTTACATTTCCATAATTTAATTTTTCACAGTATCAACATCTTTGGAACCTTGTTTTTTAACGGTATTTTCCGAAATCCGCAGGTCCTAAATGCAACCAAGCAGAAGGAATTGGAACTGGTGCAAGATTTAGAGATTGAGAGAAGTCATGTGAAGGATCTTCAGCAAGAGTTGGCCGAAAATCGGAGAGCTGTTTTAGTTGAGCAGGTGGCTAGATTTTCTGACTTCCAGATCTGTGTTCTGAGCTCTTTCTTTCGAACCTTGACAGCTTGTCGTGCAGTTATAACACAGTAACACTGGGAAGAAAATTACTCAACTACTATTTTCTGAAGTAATTGGTGGCAAGATTTTGTGAAGCATTAAAGCAAGGTCCACAGATGATGATAACTAAGATTGCTGCATCTTGTCCCCTTTGCCAGGCATTACAACAGATGGAGAAAAATTTAAAGGGGCTTGAACTTAAGGTTGAAATGCTTCGTGGCGGGGTGAGAGCACGAGATAATGCTTTAAGATTAATGAGGGATGAAGTGGATCGTAGCTTTGAGGTTCTATCCAATGCTGCTGAGAACCGCGAGGTACGTTATTCTTTCTGGTATTATTATTATTATTGTTACTACTATTGTTATAAAACCTTCCAGGACCTTACTTTTATTAGTATTTTCCTTAAAATAAATATACAATAATAGTACAATTATTATTGTTAGTCCTGCTCGGAAGTACTAGGTTCCCACACAAATATGACGGGTCTACTTTAGCTTGAGAATATAAAACTTCTAGTTTTTGTTTTTTTACCTCTTCATCGCTTGCTATTTACCTGGAGGAATGCTTAGCCTTTTATATTTATGACTTGGAAGTTTGTGTTGAGCTACGTCTATCTAGACGCTAATAATCTGTCTAAGTTTTCTCTAAATTACTTGGTGATGAAAGCCTTCTGTATTGAGCAGGCAGTCCGTCAGATGACATCATATGCTGAAGAATTAAGAGCAGAACTAGCATCGAAGGATGAGAAAATTATGTCATTGCAAGAGAAGCTTTCTCATGTTGAGCCTTCGTTGCGACAGGAGAGGCCTGTGATGAAATCTAATTCTAGTGTCAAGGCATCTACAGTTTCTGGACAGCTTAGATCTAAAAATGCACCAAATGTGGTATGTTTACTCGTCCCTGCATTCTTACCCAGATGTAGTTGACTAAGGTGTACAGAGTTTCTTGGAGGTATGCTGATTCTCGCATGAATACATAATCGGTAACGTTTTCCATAAAATTGCACTGTTTGTTGCCACTTCAACTAGCAAGATTTTGTTCTACGATTTTCTAGCACAGATAATTCTAAAAGGTTTTTAGAAGTATGGAAAGTTAGCTTGTCATTTCAGATGTAGACGTGGAGACAGCATCTTAACATTTCTGTTTCTCATGTGAGTTCAATAGTTTGTCTTTTTTCGAGTAATATACATGATGTGATGTTTTTGTGCGAGATTTCTGTGCAGTCGACAAAGGTGAAAGGAAAATCAATTTGGCGTAGGCAAGGCAACAAACCTCCTAGCAGACCCTCCCCACAATCTTAAAGCCTGGCTATATGTGGGTAAGAAGCAGAAATGCTAGCAAATACCCAATACTATGTGAAAGCTAATCTGGCATGAGTGTAAAGGAGTGTCAAAGACCTCTGCTAGTTATCATCGCATCCTGGATTCAAGTCGATTCGGTCACTTATATCAATGGTAATAGTCAGATAGTGGGGTTCTTACTAATCCGTTGTTCTCTAGTTGGACTGTACCATTTCTTTGCCCTTACAAACTGGGTATTCAAAATTTTACCTGGCACCTGACCAACTTCATCGTGCTCGATGATGTTATTAGCCGTTGTTTTCTTTTTTTACTTTTTATTTTTTGATTTAAAAGAGTGTTATTAGGTTTCGCTCCACTTACAGCGAGCGCGGCCACGCCTCAAAAGAGTGATGATTGCGATTTATAACATTAATTTTAAACTGTAGGTATGTCCTTGAATGAGTAATTTGAGTAGGTCATTTGCCAAGAGAGTAGTTTCTATATAATTAACCATTTCATTACAAATGAATATCTCTGGCGTGTTAAAGAGGCGGTTGTTCAGTTGGAAGGGGAACTTTATTGTAGTACGTTATACTTGTACAAAGCTTGATGAATCAACACTACTTGGTGCTACATGTTATATTATTGAAGCTAGAAAAATATTTGTCATACTTGATCCTTTCTACTGAAGGCGAATTTATGCAATTTTTTTTTTTTTTTTTTTTTTTTTTCTAAGTAGGTTAAATTTAACAATTGATAAATAATAAATGTATATCAGCATTCGATGTAAGTTATCCTGAATATAAATATATAGATATATTTTTTGTTGTTTGGAAAGTCTTTAAATATATGTGTGTATATATATAGAATCCAAATTCAGAATATGAAATATTTATTTTGCACATGAATTTGAAATTTTGTTCAACAATGTTCTTGTACAAATGAACTTGTACAAATGAACTTGTACATTATTTACTAGGATATGAGATAAATTTATATAAAATCATGGCCTTTTTTATTTTAAGATGCTAATTAATGTAATTTTTTTCTTTCAAGAGCATACAAATTATTACGGTAGTATTAAGGGATAATTACAATTGAGAGCTTATTGAAGTATCAAAAATAATGTTTAAATTTATTCCAATAGAATTTTAAAGTATGATATATATATGTATTTACATATATACACAATAATTTTGTAGAATATTTATTTCTATAGTAAAATCTTTTTTAGAATTTTAAAAATATGTGTTAATAATTTTTGTAATTTTTTTTAAAAAATAGTAGAAAAATGGCTTCATAAAATTTATTTTTAACATTTCATGTTCTATATATAATATAAAAAATATAAAAGATATAGTAAAATCATATTGTATAAAATTACAAACAAATAATCAAAGATAGAAAGAAAGACTAAGAAAAAGTAAGAGAAAAAATAGTTGTTTAAATAGAAGATTTGAGTATAGAATTTCAATAGAATATTCAAATTTAGATATTGATAAATAAAATTTTAAAATTAAAATAAAATAAATAAAATAAAATAAAAAAACTACTTATATAATATTATTGTAAACTTTACAAAAATACAAATACTTAAGTAAACTTGCTTAAGAAAAGTTGAATCAATAGTCAATATTGATTTCATTACTTATAGATGAAATTGCTTTGGCTTCAAAAGAATTGTTTATTGTTGATTAAAAATTGCATGTCTTCTTTTTGATATAAGGTAAAAAAGACTAGAAAGGGCATTTAACAAATCTTATTGTTTTCTAGTTAATAAGTAATTTTGAATGCAAATCTTGACAAAAACATACTCTATCAAGCTTGTTGAAAATTTAGAATATGTATTGATATGAAATACTTAAGGTTCATAAGATGTTAAAAAGTAGGTGGTGCATCTAGTATGACAGTTGGTGCATCCAAAAAGCATGACATTATATTCAAAATGCCCATACCTAATTAAAAATGCAATCTTTCATTTATCTTTTTTTTTAATTCGTACTACATTGTATAGATCTATTTTGGTATGAATCCTTGTTTAATTCAATTCATTAAGAAGTCTTGAAATCAAAGTTAGAAAATATGTATTCTTGATTGTGATCTTGTTGAGTCCTCAATAATCTACACACATATATAGAAATCCATCTTTTTTCTTTATAAATAAGACAAAGCTCTTATTAGAATTTTTAAATAGTACATGAAATTCTTTAGTAGGTTCTTGTCAATATAGTCTTTAAGTACAACTAACTTGTTTTGTGAGAAGCTGTAAATTGGTCCAAATAACAATTGATTTTCTTTTTGAAGCTCAATTGAATAATCATAGGAATAATGGTCTAGAATAATATTTATATATATTTTTTCAAAAATATCTTAATAATTCCAATATTGACTTAGAATGTTGTTTGAAGTCTTTTACCATAAAAAATGGATGTGGCATAAATATCAAAAAATGATCTTTCTTTTCAACATGCATAAAAGCTCTTGCACTTATTAATAAGGATTTTGTTGTATTAGATTCATAATTTTTTACTTAGATAAAAAAAATTCTAGATTATGCTATAGAAAAAATTTAGGTTACAAGAAATTCAATCTATTCAAAGAATATACTTTTAAGAGATATACTTCTTTAGCCACAATAAATCTAAAATAATTGGATTGGAAGGAGCTATTGTGTCTATTAGTTGTTACATGAAAAAAATAATAATAATAATAATAATAATAATATTATTATAGGTAACATCTCTAAAAGATAACAAATAACCATTAATTACATCTACATATACATACTTATTTTTCTTTATTAAAGATGTTTTGTTTTTTAACAAATTTTTTGTCTTTAAAACAAGTTGAAGCTCTTAAATATAACAAAGCAAAGTGTCATGGATATACATATTTATCTACATAAGAAGCATTAGATAGAAGATAAATGTAGATAGAATTGATATTATCTAATAGAAAAGCTTTTTAGAAGCTTCATAAATGCGTATTTGACTTTAGACATGTTTGTAGTTGATTAGTATATTAGAAACTTAGCCAATAAGTTAGCCACATGTTGTATGTTGTTGTATTTTATAAAGTTTACCTATGAATTCATCACATACTTGATTGTGGAAGGTAAAATGGAATTTACAACAATAAGATCTTAATAACTCTAATAGAATCCTAAAAAAATTCTAATTAAATTATTATAATATTAATCAATTTTTTATCAATTCCAAAAGAAGTTTCAAAGAAGTTTCAAATTAAACATTAAAAAATTACAAATTAACCTTAAAATATATATATATATATATATATATATATATATGATAAAAAATCCTAAAGAAATATCAAAAATATCTTAAAGAAATATTAAAATTTAAATCCTAAATAAATTTTAATTAAATCCTAATGAAATCCTAAACAAATCCTAAATCCTAAACAAATCCTAAATCCTAACCAAATCTTAATAAAATCTTAATAAAATCTAAAATCAATCCTAACCAAATCCTAATAAAATATTAATCAAATCTTAATCAAATCTTAATCAAATTCAAATCAAATTCTAATCAAATCCTAGATCCTAGCCAAATTCTAAACAAATCTTAAACCACTCTAAGAAAATCTTAAATAAATCTTATTCAATTACTATAGGTGTTTAAAAACCTCAACAAATGTTAAACAAACTGTTGATCTTAACTAAAATTTGACTTATATCTTAGTTCATAAGCAATTAACAAACCGGTAAAAATTTAGGAAAATCAACTCACCAATTTGAAAAAAAAGGATCTTAAATCACTTGGATGATCATTGCTCTCTTTTTCCAATCCAAATATTGATATTCCAATAGCAATTTCTCCTTGCTAAATCATTCAATTTCTTCAAAAATTGGCTAATATGTAAAATTTTAGGTCTAAAGAGTTATCACTAATTTTTGCTTCAATTGAATTGATAGATGTTATAAGATTGTAAAATTTCTCACTAACCCTAAATTTTAATTATCTAAGACCATAATCCATAAAAATTCTTATAATTTTCAATCTAACTATTAGATTAACATAAAAAAAAATCCAACACATTTAAGATAAACACAATGACAAACTAACAAAATTGCAACCATAAATATATTATAATACTCACAAAAACAATAAATTTATAAACTTCTTTTTATTTCTCAAAATCCAAATCCATTGAATACATCTCTTATTTTGAAATGCCCTCCAAACCTCAATATGCCTTCAAATCAAATAAAATCAACTCTTAAAAATCCTCTTTAAAATTCTTTCAAATCAAACAATTTTATTTGAATAATTCCACTCTTGAATCAACCAAAGAACCTCAGAGGAGCCATAGGTGTGTGGTTTTGTGCCTTAAGGTTTGATTTCAATCTTAGTTGACAACTAGTCTTCTTCAAGTATCAATTGTCAGTATATTGAGGTAATTTTTACTTAAATCTATTTTTAATTTCTTCTAGAGATGCTTATATTAATTATTTATCTCATTTATTTTTATTTCACTCATTTATATTCCTATAAAGTAAGTAGAAGTTTCTTCTATAAGAAGGTAGTATTAATACTTATTAACTTTTATTACCTCCTTCTCTATTATTTATATTTCTAAGATAATTTACTAAAATATTTTCATTTAAGCTCTTCTATAATAGAATATTTCTTTTCTATTTTTACCTAATAGCCATGTTATTTTGTAATTTTGTTGCTTTTTAAGACAATATTAAGAAATGTGTGTTGATTTTGTATAATATAAACACAAACCTTCTTGACAACATTGATTCTTTTCTTGCTTAATGAGAGGTTTAAAACATACTCTATTAATTTTCATAGGTTCCAACCTTGATAAATAAGTTTTTGAAATCTTAAAAATTACCATCATAATTGGACTTGAATCTCTTCAAACAAATCTTTATTCTTGGCATTTTTCAAGAAGTTGATTGTTGTATGCAATAGCTTAAGTAATATATTATTTCAATAAAATTTCTCTTTGTTTTATCAATAATAAATGTTTGATATTCTTTTTTAATCCATATTAAAATTAATTGATAAAAGCTTTGTCATTCTAATCTACATTATAAATAAGATTCTGGAAGTCAATAGCATATATGGTGGTTGAATGTGATCCTTATTTTAAAGATAGAAGTTTGATCTTTGCTATCTTTTTTCAATCACTTTCTCAAAATGTAGCCATAAATACTTCCAAGAAGAAATTTAGATCATGGAAGAAAAGTGAATATTTTTGTATCAAAGGTACAAATCAAAAGAAGGTACTTCCAAAAAAAAGTCCACATATAACTTCAACTTGAGTAAATCCATCAAAGTATTGAAAAAGATGCAACCTTAAATAGAACTTCATTTCTTGTAAAAATCCTCAAAATTTTGACCTAGTTCTATTAAACTTCTCAACATATTGATCCGTGTCCTTTATACTTAGAGTAGCAAGATTTTTCAAGTTCAATTATAAGATTGGTCTACTTATTTTTCTTAATTATCCTTTTTTTTTGCATAGATAGTAAATTTCATTGTTAACTTTTTTAATAGGCATAGGAATAGTACCTCTATAATTAATATTGGAAATATGTGAGATTTTTATATTAGAAATGTTGATAATCTTATATAGATTTGTAA